TACATAGTATTTATTTTTAAGTTTTACCTAGATGTTTGAAACATAACTATTAGTCCCATCAGGCATTTAGAATGTCCTTATTCTAAAGTTTCTCATTAGATATGAGTGTCCTGGTTGATTTCTTCCTATATATTTTCTCTCATCAAAAAGTGAACTTAACCATTTCACCTATCTCCTATATTTGGGGGAAGTTTGTACCCTGTGCTTGTAAATTCCTACTTGTAAGTAATTACATTGCCATTTTGTAAGCTATCAAGAAACTTTAGAATTACAAAATTGATTTTGACAAGAATAAATGGAGCTCAACTGAGAAACAGAAAATACATGTTTTGTTGTTTTCCTCCTCTGAATATTTTGTTCTTTATTTGGACTTGAAATAAGAATATCATACAAACGATCATCTTAATTAGCACAACTAAATGAATTTAAATAATAACTTCAGGGGCTAGAAAGGGGCTTAGAGGTAGAGTGCTTGCCTTACATGCATGAGGCCCTGGGTTCAATTCCTCAGCACCACATAAGCAGAAAAAGGTGAAAGTGGTGCTGTGGCTCAAGTGGTAGAGTGCTAGCCTTGAGCTGAAGAGCTGAGGGACAGCGCCCAGTCCCAGAGTTCAGGCCCCACGACCGATAAAAAAATAATAATAATTTCAACATTTTTGATAAGCATTACATTTTTAATTTTAAAATATAATTTACTCATTGTACAATTCATAAAATGAAAAGAAAATATGGTCTATTACACGTAGCAAACTTCTTACAGAAAAAATGACTTTCTGAAGAGTTTATGACTCCTCAGGGATATAAATTATAGCAATTTTCCATTGACTATATCATAATCTTTCTGCCAATATATTATAATTACCTATGGAAGATCTACATTACATGAAGGAAAATAAAAAGCAATCAAACTTCAACACTTTTTGTCTGTACTAGAAACACAAGATATACTTTTAGGCCATTATTTAAATGACTGTAACTATTAGCCAGCTTCTTCTAATCTGTGTAGATTACTGCCTAGAAACACAACTATTTATGCTCTCTGTGTGCCTATGTAGAGAATACTTTCATGGTAATACGTGCTTTCAGAAATGGCCTGTACCTGGAAGTAGTGCTGTGGCTCAAGTGGTAGAGTGCTAGCCTTGAACTAAAGAGCTGAGGAACAGCGCCCAGGCTCAGAGTTTAAGCTCCATGACCAACAAAAAAAGAAATGGCCTGTACCTTAAGTGACCTGGAAGCAATATCTTCAGGCGTAGAAAAGAATACATCATCAATGTCCAGAGTCTGAAGTTCATCATGTGTTGAGAAGAAGAGCAAGAAAAAGCAGTCTTCATTGCCCACATTTTTTATCCAGTGTAGTGTATTTTTAGGGAAGAAGATCACCTGGCCAGCTGTGACATTGTAAGTGGTAGCTACTTCACCACCATCATCAACCACCCCAATCCATGCTGTTCCCTGAAATACAAACAGAAAAGCAGACTTTACTTCATGCAGAACAATGTTTTTCAATCTGTTTTTATTACCTTTCTTCTAAGCTGTTTTCAAACTTACTTTCCAATCACCACCCTATAAAAATTTAATACCATAGATATATTAGATCATTATTTGTCTATCTATATATCTATATGTACAGATACATATATGTGAGTATCTTTACTTTGTATAAAAAGAGTAAAACTGCCAATTCCTCCATCCTCCGTAGGGGCGTTGGGATGCCATGTTTTAGAATTCAAGAGAGTGAAGCACCATATATAAGATGTGTTCATGGGCTGGGAAGGTGGCTCAGTGGTAGAGCGCTTGCCTTGCATGCATGAGGCCCTGGGTTCGCTTCCTCAGCACCACATAAGAAAAAAGAAAAAAGCCGGAAGTGGTGCTGTAGCTCAAGTGGTAGAGTGCTAGCCTTGAGCTGAAGAGCTGAAGGACAGTGCCCAGGCCCAGAGTTCAGGCCCCACGACTGGACCCAAAAAATAAATAAAATAAAATAAAATAAATAAAAGATGTGTTCATGCTCACATTCATATATGTGTATATTTTCCAGATAACAGTTTGCATATAATTTTAATAACAGTATCAGCTCACCCTTATTGCTTTTATTCTGACAGATATCTATCAAAACACTTGACTAATTCAATTATTCCTTATGTCAAATATATGAAAATTAGTATTGGTATTATCCCATTTTACAGAGAAGAACATGAAGTTTGGAAAGAATGTAATAATTTCCCAACATTAAAAAGCTTAAGGTCTAGATCTAAGCAGTCTGGCGCCAAAGTCTACACTTTTTGATCATATTACATCACACTTTGGTTCTGCTGATTTGAAAGTCTCTATTTTCTTTCAGTTTCTACTCTGATCTTCAGTATTGCACTATAAGGTATAGAATACAAGGGTGAATGAAAAAGAAGCCTTTGTTCTACCTATACAGATAACATATGTAACTTGGATGAAGGGATATTAAAAATATAAGAGAAAGGTGTACTCTACAGAACTCTGTCTTCATCTACACACAAAGAACTACAGAATCTCTCTTTTCCAGTCAAGGCACCAACAACTCCAGGCACATAGCACAGGCAGCATAGTTTCTGCCAGGCCAAGCACATTATTTCTCCCTCTCCCTCTCTCCATTCCCCTTCCTGTCCTTCCTCCTATTCCTCCTCCTTCACTACCTCCTTTTTCTCCTCTTCCTCTTCCCACCTCTCTCTCTTTCTCTCTCTCCCTCTTCCTTTCTCTCTCCACTATAATGTGAGCACTCTTTTTCATTGGAACCTTGACCTGTTCATAAGAGTTGATGATCTTGCCAGGTGCTGGTGGTTCACACCTATAATCCTAGCTGTTCTGGAGGCTGAGATCTGAGGATCAAAATTCAAAGCCAGCCTGGGCAGGAAAATCCATGAGACTCTTATTTCCAATTAACCATCAGAAAACCAGAAGTGGTGCTGTGGCTCAAAGTGGCAGAGCACTAACCTTGAGCATAAAATCTCAGAGACAGTGCCCATGCCCTGCGTTCAAGCCCCACGACTGACCCCAAAATATTATGATGATCTCATAATTTTCTTGAGAGCGTAGAAAATATTCAACTCCAACAGTCTGAATTTAGAAACTGATGTAAACTTTTCTTGAACTTCCAGAACTACCTTCCCAGGCTGGGCTATATCCTAGAATGTATATAGTAGCATGTGCTTCAGAGCAATTTTCCTAGTGTGGAGTTTGTTTAGGGCTCTCCTTTGAGGAAAGTCTACTTAACTGCCTTTCCTTTCTCTTACTGCTATAGCATTGCTGAGCCAACAATATGAAAATTAAGCCTTCCAGAGATTATTCTCCTTTATCAACTTTGTATATACAGAGAAGGCAAAAAGAAACATCGACTATGTCACTTCATTTCCATGAGCCTTTATGAAAAATAGAAAGGGTTTAGTCTTATTTAGATCAAACTCTAATCTCTCTTGTTATAAATTTTAAAACTGAATAAACTGTCCAAATATAAAAAGTACTCTTAATTATCAATAATGAAAAATGCACCATAAATCGGCTGCAGATGGTAAATGTAAAATAGACCAACATGGTAACAGTCAACTACAAAAGTTCTAGGAGGGCTCAGTCACTACTGTTTCACCAGTGTCTGGCATATAGAAGTTCTATAGATATTTTTTTAATTAACAAATTAGCTTAAACTCAGCTAATACATTCATTTCACCCCAAGGTGTGTTGATTTCATTTGACTTAGAATATTTTAAAAGTTCTAAACAAAAAAAGGCATGTAATGGCAACCCTGGAGATACACAAGGCTGAATATCCACAAGCTCATTGATGATCCCAATTGCTGCTTTTTTCCTAAGGATATTTCTTTGATCATTATCTCAGAGCTGCCAGTTTTAGATTTGGAACTGAGAACTAAAAGTGATCTTTTTAATGGGTAGCATATTTTTTTAAAAAATGATGTTATAGCAAAAAATTCAAAGTGATAACAAAAATAAATAAGCTAGTGCTTGAAGGTACTCCTAACTTATCTAACTGAATCTAATTGAAAGCCTGGGTGTTTGTCTATCACTTAGTTATATAATTTTTGTAACAACTAAAATAATACCCTGAGGAGACACAACATAGATGCTTAAGAGCAGAGTATTCTCGAACCTGTCATACCTGTACTAGGTAGCCATGTTCATTGGCATTGAAGTGCCAGTGAGGGGCCCGGAGGCCTTTGCTTTTTATTCTCAGGGTCCCCAGAGTTATCTGTGATCTCTGACTGTTCAAGTTGGTGCCAAAGGCCTCCTCTTCTTCACTAAGATAGTCTTTGATATTGTTCCTGTACCGTGCCCACTGGATTTCACCACCAGGGAATTCAAACACCTAAAAAATAAAAGCATGGGCAAGCCAGTCATCAGCATGAAAGCCACCAACATAGTGGGCAGAACCCCTCAGAATAATCATGCAGCCAGAACAGAAGTGGCAGTGGTAGTGAGGTAAATTTTTCAAATCTCAAAGAGACAAGGAATAAGACTTCAGCAAGAGGACAGAAGTGACAGTAATGATATGTACAGTGTGATATAGGCAGTGTATCATCCTAATTGTTGTTGTTGTTGTTGTTTAATAGCCAGCTAGCTTGGCTAGAGAAGAGAGGGATTTCATTTGTCGCTGCAATTATCTTCTCCAACTAGGCACATAGTGATCTACTGGAAATTTTTTGCCTAAAACAAATATAAACACAATTCTCCCCTCCTCCCTATCCCTTGCCCCTTTTCATCCTGCTGGCCCTTCCAATAGAACAAAGCTGAATAACGTGTACTGGAAATGTACTTTTGTAAACACCATTTATTTACTGAAAACTATTTTCTGTTGTATAGAGGATTCATACCTTGGATTTAGGTAAATGATTAAGAAACTGGAATTTTGGATCAACCACCTTCTTCTGTACTTTGTGAGCAGTGGTTGGAGGAAACCAGGCTTGAGATGCCACATGAACATTTAAATGAGGCTGAGAGTTGTTAACATGAACCAAGGAGAGAATCAGTACTCCAATTGCTGTGGTGATGACACAGGCCAAGAGACACAGCAGGAAAATGCTCATCAGTGACCACTGCCTCTCCTTTTCCTACAAGAAATTAGAAAGTCATTATTCTTTTCATGATACATTAGCAATATTGGCTTTTCTCAATTTCTTAAGGTTTTAGATAAATCTGTCTCATATGCCTGATGAGGCTCAGAAAAGAACAATGACTTGGGAAAGTCACACCACTGTCAATAATTATGGATCTAAAAATTAGTCCTCCTGATTCCTTCCCTGCTGCTTCCAGTGAAAATCGCTGCAATGAATATGGTCCAGTGCCCTCAAAGAAAGGCTTACATCTGCATACATCACACAGCTAGCATTTTAAAAGGAAAACCACACTGTAGCATGTGACGCGGGCTCTCCCTGAGCCTCCGAGCACAGTGCTTCAACAGGCATTGGGGTCCCCCGTAATCCCAGGCCTTGGGTCTTCTCAAACTCGGGGTGAATTCACGCGACGACGAAGTCCACTTCCGGAGAAGGTTCAGGACGGTGGCGCTCTCACAGGTAAACTTGTGTCTCTGACCAAACAGAGATTCAGGGCCAGGGGACACACTTTACCTCGAGAGACCCACTCCGTTCTCGCTCTGAATGTCAGGAACTTGTCCACCTGCGGGAGCTTCGTCCCTCGGGCGGGCCGAAGGGAGGGAAGCGTGAGAGGGAGTGGAGCCCTGGAGGGGAGCAGCAGTGGGGCCACGGAGGATCGCGCCCTGGTCGGGGGGGGGGGGGGGGGGGGGGAGGTGGAGGGCCGCCGGCCTTGCCGCAGCCATCCCCTAGTGCCCCGCTGCGCCCCGCCGGCCCCACGCCCCCAGAGCTACCTCCACACCGCTCTGCGGGCTCCGCAGACCGGCACAGGCCTTCAGCCTCCCCCGCCAGCCACCGCCTCCGCCGCCCTCCAGATGCTGCGGATGCCCAATGCCGCCGGCCCAGCGATCCACTCATCCACCGGCCCGCCGGCGCCCTGCTCCACCTGGTCGCGCCAGCGCCCGGACCCCCACTCAGAACCGGCCGGCTGCCCCCACCGCCCCCACCAGACAGACAGACAGACAGACAGACACACACACACACACACACACACACACACACACACACGCACGCACACGCAAACACACCCTCGCAGGCCTCGCCTGCCCAGCGCTCCACCAGCTACAGATCCTGTGAGTATGGTCCCCATCAGATCAGGGACCATTCCCTGGGGGACCCAAAGTCCCGATCCAAGCCCTGGCCTGAGGGATCAGAAGGGCGCACCGACCTAACCTCTAGCTCTTTATCGTCGAGGCCACTGGTGCGTAAGTCAGGGAGCGAGCGTGTTTCTTGGGACTGGTTGCCCCGCCCTCGTTTTCTCCGCTTCCCCCCACGCCCCACCCGCCAGCTGTACAGTTCATCTCCAACAGTGTCCTGAGTGAGTATCGCTGTTGCATTGGTTCGCCCTTTGTCCTCTGTCTCACCATTTGTCTCACCTTCCCTAATTCAGATAAATGTATATACAATACCCGGGGTACCAAAATCAGCTACAGTGACAACGGGATAAACCACAGGGGGAGCATAAATAAAAACACGAAAGAATCAAGAAATTACATAGTGCATTAAAAACAGTAACAACAAAGACAGACTTCTTGTGTCCATGTCTTGGAGTTCACTTCTCTTAGCATCATCTTGTATGGTCATATGTCCATAGCTTTTGAGCTATTCTGCTCATCTACTCGGACTATCCTAGATAGATGTATATTATTACAAATGAGGGAAACCATGGAACCTATGTTTTTCTGGACCTGGCTTACTTCACTTAATGTGATTTTTTTCCCCAAGTTTTTCCATTTCCTAACAAATCGGGCAAAGTCATTCTTTCTGATGGAAGCCCAGAATTCCATTTTATGGGGGAGCTCTATGTTTAGTCTTTTGAGGAACCTCCATACTGTTTTCCAGAGTGGTTGAACAAGTTTGCACTCCCACCAACAGTGTAGCAGGGTTCCCTTTTGGCCACATCCCCTACGGTATCTGCTGTTATTAGATTTCTTGATTATAGCCAATATAACAGGGGTGAGGTGGAATCTCAATGTTGTTTTTATTTGCATTTCTTTTATAGCCGAGATGTGTGTCTATTGGCCATTCTTATTTCCTCTTCAGAGACATATCTCTTTAAGTCTTTAGCCCACTTATTGATGAGGCAGTTGTTTCTTTCAGGATTTGTCTTTGGTGCTTTAGTTTTTGAGTTCTAAGTACATTTTACACATGAGGCCCTTGTCTGTTGTATGGCTAGTGAAGATCTTCTCCCAATGTGTGGGCTTTCTTGCTGGCTATGTCCTTTGCCATGCAGAAGGTCTGCAGTTTAATGCAATCCCATTTGTCCAACGTTTCTTTGATTTGTTGTGTTTCTAGGTTTTTATTAAGAAAATTTCACTTTTCCTAAACCTCCTCTGGCTGCCTGGGAAAGCCCCAGGACACAGCTCTGCCCCTGTACTAACAAATCCAAATCCCCAAAATCTCCCACCATCAGGCCTGAGAATGGGATTCTAGGTAGCAGCCACATTCTCTTGGCTAGAGTGTAAATCCAATCAAACCACAAGGAAAGAGAACCACTGCAAGGCAAACCAGGCTTTACCAAGAAAGAGTTTAAAGGAATTCATGGAGATTCAAGCTCCAAATTTCAAACTCTCTTACAAAGCCATAGTAATAAAAACAGCTGTTACTGGCTAAAGAACAGGCCTGAGGACCAACACAATAAAACTTACCCACATGTGAGCCCACAGACCTATGGTCACCTAATCTTTGACAAGGGAGCCAAAAAAACAGGATGGAAGAAAGACAGCCTCTTCAACAAATGTTGGCAGAATTGGCTAAACACATACAGAAAACTAAAGTTAGATCCTTATATGTCACCCTGCACCAGAATCAATTCCAAATGGATCAAATAACTCAAGGTAAAAGCAGAAAATATTACAAGAAGGAATAGGAGAAACACTAGAGCTCCTTGGCACAGGTCAAAACTATCTTAGTAAAGACCCAGAAACACAACAAACCAAAGAAAGGCTGATAAATGAGATTGAATGAAACTGCAGAGCTTCTGCATGGCAAAGGACATAGCTAGCAAGAAATATCAAAACCCCACAGACTAGGAGAAGATCTTCACTAGCCATATAACAGACAAGGGCCTCATATTTAACATATACCTAGAGCTCAAGAAATTAAATTCCCCCCAAACAAACCCCCAAAGAAACAACCACCTCACTAAAAAGTGGGCCAAAGACTTAAAGAGACTTTTCTGAAGAGGAAATATAAATGGCCAAGGGACACATGAAGAACTGTTCAACATCTCTGGCTATAAAAGAAATGCAAATCAGAACACTGAGATTCTACCTTGCCCCAGTTAGAATGGCTATAATCAAGAAAAGTAGTAACAGCAGATGATGGAGAGGATGTGGCCAAAGAGGAACCCTACTACACTGTTGGTGGGAGTGAAAATTTGTCTAACCACTCTGGAAAGCAATATGGAGGTTCCTCAAAAGACTAAACATAGAGCTCACCATGATCCAGCAATCCCACTCCTGGGCATTTACCCAAATGATCACAAACAAGGCCATACAAAGCTACCAACACAATCATGTTCATTGCAGCATTATTTACCACAGCTAAGATATGGAACCAATCCAGATGCCCCTCAATAGACAAGTGGATCAAGAGGATATACTATATATACACAATGCAGTTCTATGCTTCCGTCAGAAAGCATACATTGTTCCATTCATAAGGAAATGGAAAGACTTAGAAAAAATTATATTAAATGAAGTAAGCCAGACCCAAAGAAATGTAGGGTGCATGATTTCCCTCATTTGTCAGAACTAGAATATGTCTATGATATTCTTAACAGGTGATCTCAATAACCCAACTGCTTAGTACATAGGACCATAGATAATAAAGTGTATCAACTCCAATGTATGGAAACAAGAGGTTCTTATTAGACCCTGTATGTAGTTTGTCCTTTTCTCTTTTTTTCATTTCTCTTAGTTTTCTGTACCTTGTGTCTTATATATAAGATTATTCAATACATGGAAGGGAAAGGGAATCACAGAAACAGTAGAACAAAGATGAACCAAAGCAACATTGATACTCACTTGAAACTACGTTGGATACGAACATTACAACTTGTGGGGAAGGGGAATAGGAAGGGGTAAGTGGGAGATAATGAGGGATGGGTTAACAATGATTAAAAATAAATGTATTCATTACCTTACTTATGTAACTGTAACCCCTGCTCATCATCTTTTCAATAAAAATAAAATACAATTATTAAAAAAAGTACATTTCCCATAGTAATCTAGAACGTATACGTATAAGTGCCCATATACATACACCGTTTAAGCAAGTTATATTCACATATACCATTTAAGCAAGTTTCACAAGCACTACTTGTTATACAATTCATTTCTACATGTTCATTCCAGTACATCATGTACATGTATATATATCACGACTAATGGATACATCCTGAACTCTGCCTGGATCTTTTTAAATAGACGATCAGGCAAATTATTATTGTGCCTCCTCAAATTGATTGAGAAAGATAACATCAAAAAGAGAGATCATTTTTTAAAAAATCTAGCTGGCTCCATTTCCAGCTTTTTGTAGTTATTTGGAGAAAAGAGTCTCATGGACTTTCCTGTTCAGGCTGGCTTTGAACCACAATCCTCAGATCTCAGCCTCCTGAGTTGCTAGGACTAAAGGCATAGGCCAGTGGTAGAACACTAGCTTTGAGTACAAAAGCTCAGGGACAGTGTCAGGCCCTAAGTTCAAGCCCAAAGATGGGCAGGCAGGCAGGCGGGCATACTGGGGCACATTGGGGCACACCCATGCACAGGCGTATGTACATACACACACACACAAACCAGTTGAACCAGGTGTTGGTGTCATACCTATAAGTCTAACTACTCAGGAGGCTGAGAGCTGAGGATCATAGTTCAAAGCTAGCCCAGGTAGGAAAGTCCACTAAACCACCACACACAAAAAAAATCAGAAGTGGGGCTGTGGCTAGAGTTCAAAGAATTAGCCTTGAACAAAAAAATCTCAAGGGCAGTGCACAAGCCTTGAATCCAAGCACCAGGAATAGTGCACACGAAGGAAAGAAGGAAGGAAGGAAGGAAGGGAGGGAGGGAGGGAGAGAGAGAGGGTGGGAGGGTGGGAGGGAGGGAGGGAAAGGGAAAAAGAAAAAAAAGTTAGCTGAAACAAAACAAGAAATAATCTCCACCTTTAACTTTTCTAAAGTTCACTGATAAGTATGGATAAAAACATTGTCTCTAAAAAGCATCAACTGAGAGGTACATTTTTTTAAGCTGGTGATAATAACCATTAACCTAAAGCATTCATTAATACTCTCAGCCACAATTCAAAGAAAGTTAGGCTATTAAAGAACTACAGAATATGTGAATTAAAGATATATGAGAGAAGACAGAGCAAGAAATACTCAAGAGCAAGAGATGAGGGTCTCCTGAGAGCTTATCTAAACAGCAATTCTTCCTGATTTCTGCATGAGGATTTGGGGAGCACCTTCCCTAGGATGCAAATCCCCATCTTACCATTCTGGAGATGGTGTTCATCTTCCCAATAGACAAAGCTTTCTGTGATCCATCCTCATGCATTTCAAATGCTGAGTTGTCCATGGGCAAAAAGGATCAAATAATTTACTGAAAAAGAAAGGATAAAAGTACGGGTTGTCTCTAAGAGGAGAAGAATGACAATTCTTAAGCAAGGGAACATTTATATACAAATGACAGCCTAGGAAAATAAGGAAGCTACCTATTATAATCCTGGTTCCCGAGAAAAACCCTGATAGAATTGCAAAACAAGAGATCAATAAATACTTGTTTTAGTCCCCAATTCTTTGCCCATGACACATACACAGATAATAACAATCTTACTTCCTCCTTTCATTGTGTCAGGCACTGTGTGTTAAGTAATTTACAACATTATGTGACATCATTCTTACAGAAATCTTGTGCTGTTTTTAAAATCAGGAAACAGCCAAAGGAAGGCACAGCACCTGCCCAAAATCACAGTGCCAGTTTATTGCTGGAGCAAAGGATATAAGGTGTTTTTATTGTTTCATTGGTGATACTGGGGATTAAACTCAGAGTCTCACTCTACCACTTGAGCCACAGATTGACTTCTTTTGCTTTGTTTTCAGATGGTCTTATGCTTTTCCTCCATCCAGCCTTGATCCATTATCCTCTTAACCTCTGGCTCCAGAATAACTGGGATTTCAGGTAAACGCCCCCATTCTTAGTTTGTTTTGAATAGAGTCCTGCTAACTTTTGCTTAAGCTGGCCTCAAAAAATGATCCTCCTATCTCTATCTCCCTAGTAGCTGAGAATGACATTAGTTTTCTATAAGATGTGATGATATATGCTTAGTCTAGAAAAATCTTTCACTTAAATTAATTTTGCCTTTAAATAATGTGGCCAGTGATTTAAGAAATAATCTTGTTAGTTGAAAAAGTTATTTTTATCAGTACATATTATAAAATGATGAGATTTGTTGTGATATTCCCATACATGCATATAATGTACTTAAAATAAAAATGTATATACATTATCTCTCTTGGTGATGAGCAATGGCTTTAGTATTCTATACTTCAGAAAACACCCATTTTTCCTTATTGCCTACCAATTTTTCTACCTTCATTCTTTCTATAAATATTGTTGAATGACTATATTCCAGGCTATTTGACCTTGAAAAGCCTGGGGGAAAATTAAGCAAATTAGGCTCAGATGCTAGGAAGGATTCCAATGGTGTAATGCCTTTGAACAACCTAAGAGTTTAACAAAATGAATATCAGGAAGTTCAATGTGGAACCAGATAACTTGAGGGGATACAACTGGAAGAGATGGAGAGAATGATAAAAGGGTGACATTGATCAAGATGCACTGGACTCACAAATTGGAATTCTGAATTAAAACTCCTTCATACAGCTACTTACTTACTTCAGCAGCTCATAATCTAGTAAAAAAAATTACAACAAAATTGCTGAATTTTATTGTTTGTTAGATGTATGCATAAGGTCCTGTGAGGATGTAGAAAAGCTAAGAAGGCAAGTCTTCACTGAAAATTTGAGGTGAGCTTTCAAGTTGGAATACAGCTGAGTAAGAATACCTAGTCAATTACATCCTATGTCTATAATTGCTCTAGAACAGACTTTGTGGTAAGAACATAGACTAGCTGGATGAGGCCAGTGATTAAGGCTCCCAGGAGGCTGCTTACTGACCCATTTACGTTTTAAACTTAAACAGGTATATCAAACCTAAGATGTGTAAATTTCCATATTTTGACATTTTCCTCCAAAGAGATACTTCTTGAAATGAGTAGATTCTCACTGAAACATAGAATGGCTGCTTTTTATCAAACAACAGTACGGTACAAACTCTTAAAACCAGTTTTACACAATTTGACATGTCTCATGTGAAAATACCCTCCTCAGGCACCTGCATCATTTGGCTGCTGTACTTAGTGTTGATGTGAATGACAGGAGAAGCAAATCTACAACCAAACTACACTAAAACCCACTGAACATTGAAGTAAAAACTTATGTTGCTAGATAAGGTCCTTCTGATCTTTGAAGATAAGAAAGAAGATAAGAAAACTAAAGCCAAACAGGCTAAGTACCTTTCCCATGCTGCAGAGACATCACTAAGCCAAAACAAGACCCAGCTCTCCTCCGATCAGCAGAGCTTCCTTTCCCTGCAACTTCTATATATAGTTAAGGCTTCATGCCTTTGACATACATGTAAAAGACTCAAGATGACTTGAAGTAGGACAGCTGATAGCAGGAATATTATAAACATCACTTAGGACCTGTGAATTTAATTCTGTACTGTTACACAGTGACTCCACACCAATAGTGAGTAGGTGGGTCACTCACATTATCCTCTGAAATAGACTTGGTTCTGTTAGATCAGAAATGCTTAGCAAGATGGGAGAAGAGGAAAAATTGTAAACGTTACCAGATTCTAGAAATAGCAGCCAAATCAAATTGAGCAAGTATCCAATATACAGAAAGTGTAGAGAATTGGTGACTCTGCTGAGTTCCTTGTGACATACGTAATCACACCTCTAATAAGCACTTTCAAGTAAGAGTCATACTACATGCTGTAACCAAAGACAAATATAAACTAATACCCCAAAATTTGGGAAAATGAGTATGTATCACAGTCGTCCATGTTCACTTTAGTGTTTAAATCATGCCTCCATCAATAAACACAAGTTCTCAAATAGTTTATTATGCTGTCACACATAAAATTTGCTCCATTAAACATAATTAGGAAATACGAGATATTCTCATTTATATGTGAAAGCTAAAACGCTGAGAATAGATATAGAGAATAAAATAGTGGTTCCTAAAGCCTGGGAAGGATGAGATGAAATGGGGAAGATAGTTCACAGGTACAGGGGTTCTGAGAGATAGAAAGGATAGCAACTAACATTCTATAGTACCATAGTACTATAGGATAGCTATAATTCATAATTGGATGTATTAAGTAGTACAGAATATTTTTGGTTATTTTCAACACAAAGAAATGATCAATGTCCTGAGGTGGCAGACATGCCAGTTACCTTGATCAGACCATTACACATAGTATACATGCAGTCAGATATCACGGTGTACCCCCAAATTATGTACAATTATCATTTGTCAACTAAAAATAAAAAATACATGTTTAAAGAAAAGTGACAAGGTCACAAAAGGCAACAAAAGACAAGAAGGATTACAAAACTGAGGTGACTATGGAAATGACAAGAATGTGGGCTGGATCCTGAAATATTACAATGACAGTACAGGAAAAACTAGTGAAATCTGAGTGAGACCTATAGTTAATAGTATTATATCGCAATAGTTGAAAATTGTCATACAATTATGTAGATGTTAGCTGGGAAAAAAACTCAGGGTGTATCATTGTCACTCTCCTCTCTAAGAGGAAGAAGAAGGGGGGGCAAAAAAGAGAGGAAGAGAGGGAGGGAAGGCAGAAGAACATCATTTTTACATCTATTTCCTCTTCTTCCTAAGCACACAACTAACACATATTTCTCAACATCCCTTACAGGTTTTGCCATTTGACAGAATTTCTCAGTTAATACAATATGAACAGAAACACAGTGCACTACAACAAAGCAGGAGGTAGCAATGCTGGACAAGAAATGTAGTCATTACCTTACTCATGTAACTGTAACCCTTTTGTACAGTATCTTTACAATATTTTTTAAAAAATATCTTAAAAAGAGAAATGTGGTGCACTATTTCCAAGCTGAGACTTCTACACAGGGGGTAAGCCCTCAGCTTGCTGCCATTCTTCACCAACTGGATGCAGTGATCCCCGGGGGCACAGGGAGCAGTCAGAGCCCCAGGTGGAAGAAAAGTGGGTCTCTACTTCACTGCAGAGTTGTATCACATCCTAAAATGTGTGGTCAGTTTCCTTTTTCCCCCATAAGCTAAAACTAAAACATATGTATAAAAGTTCTACTCTTTAATTCCCATTGGGAGATGATATAAACTCTACTCTTTGGAATTTCTATTTAATCACAAGGGCTAGATATATGTGCATAATATATTGTCAAGTTCAAGAGCTGCTGTCTACGATGCTCCAATTATCAATCCAAGGGATAAACTGAATATATGTTAAGATATGGCTTTCATTATTTGAGTTTATTTTCTAGAACACATTCACTCACAAAGACTATTGGGTGTCTTTTGTTTCTGATTTTGCATTTGGTTTTATGCCAGTACAGGGGCTTGAACTCAGAACTTCAAGCTCCTGTTCAGTTTTTCTGCTCACAGCTGGCACTCTTACCACTTGAGCCATACCAACAGTTCCAAGGCCATTACTTTCCTCAGAAAACCTGAGCCAAGTAGATCATTTTATATAACAGGCTTGTAGAGGAGAAAAAGCTTTGCTATCAAACTCCAAGGAGAAATTTTCCCCATCTCTATAGTATCTGCCTTTGAAAATGTAAACATAACTAGGAAATCTAAACATTTGGGGGGATGGAGTTCCAGTCATGGGGCCTGAACTCTGGGCCTGGGCGATGTCCCTCAGCTCTTCAGCTCAAGGCTAGAGCTCTACCACTTGAGCCACAGCGCTACTTCTGGCTTTTTTCTTTTTGCTTATGTGGTGCTGAGGAATCGAACCCAGGGCCTCATGCATGCAAAGCAAGTGCTCTACCACTGAGCCACCTTCCCAGCCCGGAAATCTAAACATTTTTTATTTGCTGGTGGTCAGGCTTATACCCACTTACTATAAAGCACAAGCACTGACTACTCAGAACAGTAGTTAGTTGTGTGGCCATACCAGTATGTACCAGATAAATATTGGCCCTGCCAATTCAATCAGACCACAAGTTTATAAGGGAGTAGTTGAGAGTGCAAACTGGAGCAACAGGTCAAGGTAACTGAATGATTATTGGGCAATTATCCAGGTAGAAAGGCTGATAAAAATATGCTGGGAAATTCTTTCTAATTAACTTCTTTGAAATTACTACATGTAACAGGATTCTTCAAGGTTCTCTTTATGCAAATGTTTGTTATCCATTAATTAACTTTTAGATGATCCCTAAACATTAGAGATATATGAGATTGTACAATATACCAGACACTGTTGGAAATTCCTGATTAACTGACACAGGTCCTTACCTCAAA